TTCCGCCTGCCACTCAAGCCCCTGACGCCCCTGCCAAGCCCGCCCATCCTCCTGCGGATGCGCTCCCTAGCCAGGTCGAGGCGAGGAGCACTCTGCTGGGCGTTCATGACACTGCGGGGCCATTCGCCGCGCCCAGGGATCTGCATACCGGTCAGTTCATATACGTCGACTGCACGGAGGAGGAGAGGGCCATGCTGCCCACGACCATCGGCTCCCAGTTCGAGGCGGAGCGTGCTCTGGCCGATCTAAGGACCGTGAGTCGCGTCGTCGGTGACCCGCGTGACTCCGAGGAGTACACGTATTGGGAGACATCTTCGCATGACACTCTCGCCTACGCCTTTTACAGCGTGCCGGATCAGTACAGGAATGTCCCAGCAGTGAAATCCGCCTCGCGCATTTTCGACCAGATTCCCGACGGCCAGCTCGTGCGACCGGACAAACCGGAGCCTGCGGTTCTCCGCCTCAGCGCAGTGAAGGGCACTGAAGACACCCGGAGGAACCTCGAGAGGCTGAAGGAGGAGTCCATCAAGAAAAATGTGGTCATCCTCGGCGCCAGGAGAGGCGAAGATATCGCCCCCAGGATCGGAAACACGATCACTACTCTGTGCGCCAAGATCGGGGACATTGCCCGATTCCTGGAGATGGGAGTGAGGTCCAGAGCAGGACCTATCCTCCCGACCAGGAGTGACCCTGACCTGATGATTCAGGCCATTGTTCCCGCACCCGAGGAACTTCTGGACTACTTCGCCGACGAGATCCGTCAGAAGGTGAAGGGTAGGACGGGCGCTTCTTCGCACTACTACAGGAGAGCATGCGCGGAAATACGCGACGTGCTCCGTGGAACAGCTGTGTAGCCTGGAAATGCAGGTGCAGTCAAGGACCCAGAATTGGAGGCCTCGTCTGCCAGCGGGCAAGGGAACGTCACTTCGGTGATACAACTGAAGAAGTTCCTGAGCCACTACTTCGGCACCAGCGTCGAGTCTGAGGATGCTTTTTCATCGTACCTCCTGTCTTCCTTCCTCGAAGACGGGGTGGGAATGTTCGAAATCATCATCACCGTCATTCGTGACAAGGAGCGTCGGTTGCTGCCTGGTTCCGCCCGCATAGCGGCGGTAAGGTCGCTTGAGATCGGATCCGACACTGATTACCGAGCATTTCGTGAACGATACCAATACATGCTCTACGAGAGCCCTGTTTGTCTTCCTATCACATCCAAGGTGGTTCCCAAGACACTCTACAAGGTGGTGCCTCTCCGAATGTATCGGCTCTACGTAGAACGTGGGGCGATCATTCGGGGTGGGCGAGCTCTGATCGAGCTCCTTCCCTCTAGGCCGGATGAATATCAATCCCTCCGCGATCACGGAGAATGCCCCAACGACACTGTCGACCGCATCACCGACAGCAATGTGACGGAGCTGCACACCTCGGGTCGACGCCAAAGGAGCGATCCCCGATATGTGGTCATGGCTATCGATGCACGTTTCTTCTCCATGGAAAATGGGGGCATGCATATTACCCGTCAAGGTACCTTTGCATCGCGCGAGAACATCGCGATCGGGTACTGGAGATGCGTCTACTTCAAGGAGGACTGCTCCATCATTTACCTGAGGCCTTGGTGCTATCCGCCCAACTTCCTCAACTCCGTGAGTGATAACCCGAGGAAGTGTCGGGACGAGATGGAGAAATATCACCAGATCACCAAGACGGAGCATGTCCGCGAGGTGGTGTCCGCTCCATGCCATAGGTGCATGACGGCCCACCCGATCGGCGCTCACCTGTGCCCCGCTTGCTACCTTCCCATCTTCTATGAGGGCGTCCTGCCCACCGGAGACACGAACGGCGGCCCTCGCACGATAGCGAGCACCGACGGGGTGATTCCTCCCTGGCTGGCAAAATACGAGGGCGTCGTCCCCGCTCTGTGGAACAACGCAGACGCCAACGCCATCGGAATGGCCCTCTACTCGCAGAGTCCCGCCGTCGATGCCCGATCCTTGTTGATGTCTGGGATGCGGCCTCCTAAGTACCTCGACAAAGAGGACGTGGATGGCATTTTCCGAAAACTTCACGACTCGCTCCGAGACGAAGTTCTTGACGGCAAGTACCGTGACACGGTCGACCACAACGTGGAAGAGTGGGTCGCAAAGGCGATCTTGGTAAGGGGTCTTGCCTTCAACGGGAGCTCCGTCCCCGACTTCTTCGAAGAATATGAGGGATATGCGGCTGAGTGGGGCAGACGCCTAACCACCGCAAACTTCAACGCCAACCGGTGCGGCTTTTACACGTCCTACTACATGGTTGAGGCCCATATCATTGGGCTGAGATCAGGGCACCTTTCTCCGATACTCCCCAACGATGTGTCCGGGGAGGGGTTCAAGGCCCAGGTGGGGCTGCTCGCACAGCACTGCGGGATAATGCAGGCCATGCGGAGAAAGGCCGGATTCGATCCCGCCGCGCGCCTCAAACGGGCCATGGACACGATACGGGAAGGCATTAAGAAGGGATACATCTACACGCTCAACGACCTCAGCAGTATGGATGATCTGATCTACCGGACGTCCACCGTTGCCTACGACACATGCTTGGCCGACCGTCCTCAAACCCAGGATGACATCAAACAGGAGCTGGCTGACCCTGTACCAAGGAAATACCGCTTCCGACCCCGCGATCGCCATCGACCCGGAATTCGCCTTACACCAGGCCCCGGCGTGAAAGACGAAGACGAGCCCGACTTTGCTGGATCAGCGGAGGATGAGCTGGGATCGGATGGGTCTTCGCACAAAGATGACGAGAAGCCTGACGACCTTGACGAGCCCATGGGCGACGACGAGGAGGAGATCCCTCCCCCTCCGCCACCGCCCCCGGCTCCTCCTGCGCCGCCTATCCCGGTAGAACCGGAGACTCCCGTGGTGTCGCACGCAGGCGTCGGTTCTGGCGAAGCTGTGCCAACTCCTCCTCCTCCTCCTCCCGCTCCCATTGCTGCAGGCGTTACCACGGCTGGGGATCCGTTTGAGGAAGAGGACATGGCCGTCAATACTCGTGTCCCTGACACCGAGTCCGAGCTGGAGGGTGAGTCCGACCAACCCAAGGCCAGGAGGACATCAAGTCCCGCCTGGCGGGCAACCCAGCTCTAAGAGCATGGCCCAGCCTGCCCGTCCATCCCCGGTCCCCGCGAGAAGCGGTGCGGAAGGGGGGGAGAGAAGGGGCAGAACCAAGGGTTTCTACACCCAGAAGGATCCTTTTACCGGCGAGGACGCGACTCCCCGGGTTCGTCTTCGATCGGGCGGTCCCGGAACTCCTGCGTCCCCACCACGGGATGCCACCGGTTCCTTGGGCGGCCATGGCGGCTATGACCCGCGCGATGACGACAACGATGAGTGGGAGCTTCCCCCGGGCGTGCCTCGGACCACTCGTGCGGCCAATGAGTCACGGCCCCACCGAGATGACGATCGGTCAAGGACCGCGCTTGGGGCCCGCGAGGATCGTCGCGGCCCTAAGGGTGAGGGGAAGGGTCGAGGAAAACATCGACCTGGCAAAGGTGGACGCGAGGATCCTGGCCCGCCCCGACAAAGGGATGATCGTGGCAGGGATACCCGCGGAGGCCGACGCGATGATCGCCGACCTCCTCCACGTCATGAGGAGCCATCCGAGAGGCGCGGTCCGGGGCGAGATGAGCGCCGCGGACGTGATGACCCGGCTGATGACCGTCGCGATCGCCACCGGGACCGGCGCAGGGATGACCGACGTCACCAATCAGATCCCCCTCCGCCTCGCCGACCTCCGGCTGGCGACCACAGTAGGGGTGGTGGTGAGGATCGCCGTCGGGATGGAGGAGGTGATCGAGGTGACCGCGGTGGACGCCGGAGAGACGACGCGCCCAGAGACCGGGAAGAACCTGGTTCAGGGTGGTAGGCAGGTACCGCAATCAGCATCCGCCTTAGAAGGGCGAGGATGGCACGTGTGTCGCCGAAAAACGCGACCGCGCCGGTCCTCCTCTCGCCCATGCGGCACTGCTGGGGGTGATGGTCTCCATTGCCCTGTACCGCTGATCCGGCGTTGTTCGTGTCCCTCCCGCACCGCTGCCGTGCGCGCCGGAGACGGTTCCCCTGGCGATCCTGTGTGAGGCTGTGACCGCACTAGAAGTGCCGGGCCGGCCGTAGCCGGATATTTTCACACCAATTTCGGAACTTCCTTTTCTTATTTCCTCCCAACTCGACTACTCCTCCAACCACTTCACGGCGTGCAGTGAGGCGCGGTGATCCAGATAGGGTCCCCCTCCGCATGTTGCCGTCCCATGACAATGCATGAACGGCACGAGAGGAATCTTCGTCTGGTTCCTCCAATATGTCATTGTTCACTCATGTGGTCCACTCGTCAAATAATCCTGTCGCCCCGATAATTCGGGGTGGTGGCGGGATTTTAACTGGGGCCCAGGTGATGCCGTTTGGCTCACCTCTGAGTTGACACCGGCATTTTTGGTTGGTCCCTTTCGTCGTGAACTCAACTGTCTCGCATCCTTTCTCTCGTCCAGATATCGGATGAGGGGGGTGTGTTTTGTTCACGTGTTGTTTCTTCATGTGGCAAAACGGCCGAATGGCCGTTTGGCTCAAGTTTTCAACCCCCCGTCAGTGTAGCTCTGGTATCACGTGCGGACGCCATACAACGGCAGCCGCCCACATCACCGGGAAAAGGTCTCGGTGCTGGGGGCAGCTGGTTGTGGGAGGTATCCGGTGGTGCGGCAGGGTTTGCTGGGCTTGGTTGAGTACTTATACTTCTTCAACTTGCTTCCCAACTTCCCCAAACTTCTCTTTACTAACCGTCACTTCCTCAACCCGGTCATCATCCACAGCTTCACCCGAGTTGTGATTCCGGGTGCTTTGGGTACATTGTGATCTTCTTTGTACTCATTTGCTTCCCTGGGCTACTTCGTGTTCGCCCAAAACCGCAGGTTTGTTTGGGGCCGTTCCGTTTGTGTTGCTTGGATCTAAGACCACGGGTAGCAGGCGAACGTATGGAGGAAATTATCCTGGGTCAAGATCGCAACCAGCGTGAACAGCTCATGAGCAGGCTCTTTCAGGAACTGGATGATGGAAGCGGAACGCTAACATACGGCCAGGTATTTGCTGTTGCCCAGCCTATTCTCAAGCTCAGTCGGAATGACGGTATTCTGGATGCTTTGGGCCTCATCATTCAGATAGCATCTGACACTGATGGGGCAGTCACGCAGACTGAGTTCGTGGATTTTCTCGAGACTCTGCTAGTGGATGTTGGCAAGGTCAAGATTGTGAAAGACGAAGCCATCAAGACTGAGGCAACTTCCTGGTTTGGATCGAAATTTCAGCTGGTAAAACGTGTTGCGCAGAAGGAGGTGCGAGAGCTCGTGGACAGCGTCTCAATGATTGGACAGGACATCGCCTATTCAGCGGGTTTGGTCAGAAGCCCAGCCCACTTTGCTGAGATCGAGCGGTCGTGGTTGCGGCGGACGCTGAAAGATATTGTGCTGTTCCTTCCCGTCGGTGCTATCATTGTTGCACCCTTGACGCCAGCCCTAGCCTCAAAAGTGCTGTGACACTGTGGGGTCATGCGGGGCCATGCTGGTGCGTACGTGTGGCAAGTTTCAGGTTGGCACAGCCATTGTCATTGCTATCTTCAAGCGAGCTGTGCCTGCTTTGGTTCCGTCATCCTTTCGCCGGCACCGCTTAGAGCTCATGCACCTTGGCAAGACTCCCGTAGAGCACATTCCATGCAGAGCCTCGCTGCGGTCCAAGGATGGCTCGCCGCGCGGCAAGGAAGCCCAGTTCCGAGTCATCAGATACAGAAAGAGTGCCATTGCCAATTGCATGTGGCCGCTCCAAGAAGGGGCTTTCGGAGTGGCCTTCATGTGTTCTTGTGGTTGCGTCATTCAATGTCATTCATATCATGCAAGATCTCCGCGCAGCACTTTTCAGTGACCAAGCCCGCCTAAAATCGCGTTGTGGCAGCATGAGCTATGAGACAGCAGATTCGCAGAAAGAAGAGTTCCGCAAGTACCTAGAGCAGGAACCTGAGTCATGTTAGAAACCTGCTTGTCGCATGTTCTGTGCGTGTGTGGTTGTGGTGCTCCTTTGGGAGCGAGCTGAGGAAGAACGGAATTGTGTCACAGCTGACCCGCGTTCTTGTGGGCTTGTACGAGGAGCCTGAGAGGCCTGCCAATGTGTGGCCCCCGGAATGTGGGAATGAGTCCGATGTTCAACGAATCGCTCTCAGGCCATTGACTACATCAAAAAGTACCTTGGAGCCCCAACAGGTGCTTACAGTGTGCTTACAGAGTGCAGTGCGTGCAGCGTCCCTTTTTCAGGTGTTGATGTGGAGGAGCTCCGGGCGGACAACGACGAACTCCGACGGCAGAATGCGGAGTTGGAAGCCAAGGCCGATCTGCCGATCTGCCGATCTGCCGATCTGCCGATCTGCCGATCTGCCGATCTGCCAATGCCGAGCTTCTGCTTTGCCTCGTTGAGCGGATTGCACAGGTTGCCAGCCTCACACAGCAACTGAAAGAGCTTCAGACTGAGCAAGAGGAGCAGGAGGGATGAGAGGCGCGGATAGTGAAGAGGTTTGGACCCGCACTTCAGAGGTATCGCTGTTCAGGCGATGCAGTAGCCTGGAGGCACAGCATTCTCTACAGCGTGAGCCCTGCCATGCAAAGTGATGGTCTGGGCTGGGCATTCGTTCTCTCATGTTTTTTTTTGAACTCCTTGGACCGAGCACATACGCTCAGGCAGAGAAAGGCTGCTTCCAACGTGCCTTTTGTAGAATAGATGCAGTAGCTCGGAGTGGCGTGGCGTGGCGCACTTGCCAGGTGCAAAGGCACAGACCACGCGTGTAACTGAAGCAAACACTGCGCGGTGCTTGTTGAAGTGTTTGCGTCGCTCGGCAACTTAGACTTCTTCCAGTTGCGGGGGAAGACCCAGTGTGCGGGCAATCGTAGATTTGTTTCCGCTGTGCTGTGTACGACAACCTCGTCATGCTGTGTCTTGAGGTCGTGGTTCGTGTGTGCATCCGTGCTTTTGTCTCAAGTAAGCGGCCGTGCATCGCCTGGTTGTTTCCACGTGTGTGCTTCGCTCAGTGGCTCAGACTGCTTTGGCCATTTCAGAAAGGCATAGCTTTGGCCTTTACAATGGCAAGAGCCCCAGGTTGCAGCCGCTTTGGCACCAAGTGGCATGGACGATATGTTTCGCACCCGTGCTGAAAAGCAAACACCCGCAGCTTTCCCAGGTTCGGCCTGGTCGAGTGCTTGACTTGGTGCGTCAATTTGAAGTCTCCGAGAAAGAGCTGGTCGCTAGCAAGTTTGAGGCGGAGGCCGGGGCACCTTCCTTAAACAAGGGCGACGGGGAAGAGTTCAGCCGCAGCATGCGCGTGAACGCGCGGGGAAGCCTCCGTTGGCACATGGCCCGCAGATGGCGCGTTTGCGGCAAGCTGCTTTGGTGAGCCATTGGCGATCTCCATTCGAGGCGGGTGCTCCACGCCAAGAGTCGCAAGATGTCGCAAGATGTCGCAAGATGTCGCAAGATGTCGCAAGATGTCGCAAGATGTCGCAAGATGTCGCAAGATGTCGCAAGATGTCGCAAGATGTCGCAAGATGTCGCAAGATGTCGCAAGATGTCGCAAGAGGTGTTTCACGCAAGTTTCTTGTGACACCGCGAGCTGCGAGAGTTGGGATCACGGACGGCCCAGTCTCGGAAAGTGCCGCGCCCAGAGGACATTTTGCCACACCGCGGATGCCGCTTGGCTTTTCCATCTTGAAATGCCCAGGACAGAGAGGCCAGAGGGGCCTCTAGGGCCTAGCACTCAGACACGAAATCTTGCAAAACCTTCCAGATGCCAAAGCCGGCCGCAAATTTGCCTCGGTGACCGCGTCTCAGACGTCGCAAGCCGCTACATTACAGAACCAGTGACGAGCACATCCCCAAAATCAACAATGAACATGCAGGCTGTTGGGAAACGTTCACGATTCTGCGCGAAGAGACGCACTTCACAATGTCTCAGGGCTGCTGTGCGCCACCGCTTCCAAGCGCGCAGCTGCTTGGTTTTGCATTTCTTTGCCAATTGCCTGCATCGCGAAACGCAAGCGAATGGCAATGCAAACGCAAGGAACAACGCGACATGTTGTGTTGTGTGTGTGTGTGCGTGTGGCTTCTGCAAGGCGCTTACTGAAGTACCTTGACCGCTGCATGAACACATGCACACAAATGTCAACACAAATTCTGCAGCAAGCCCAAAAGTGACCTTCTTGAACATGCTTTGCTCCGAGCGAACAGGAGGACCGCGCAAGCGCTGCTCATGGCCGGCGATTGTGTGAAAGAAGCATCAGTCAGTCTTTCGTGCAGAAGAGGGAATTCCCTATTCCACTCTGATTCAATGTGTGCACCTTAGGATGTGGACACGTTGTCCACGTGCTCGACAGAGGCGGGCTTGGCTTCGAAGGGCCGAACCTTTGATGCATTCTTCCAGGACGAGGCCCAGGCTTATGGAGAAGCATTCGCGTTGCGACTCAAGGAGTTTGCAAGGCATGGCATGGAGTGGCTTGCGCCTCTTGGTTCGGCCTCGTGTCAGGCAAGGTGAACCGGAAGACGCCGCTCTGGCGGAGCAGCGGAGCAGCATGCAGACGCTGGTTGCACGCAGCGACGCATTGCACGAATGAACTCGAGGTTTGCATCGCCTGGCCTTCCTGCAGCTTTTGAGGCACCAGCCTCAGAGGAGTCAAAAGTCACAGAGCACTCCGTCAGGAGCGGGTGTGCACGCGCGCGTATTTCCTCTACTTGGATGGCTGCAAAGATGACCGGCGGAATTACTTCCAGGTCGGTGTCAGGCATTGGCAGAGTTGCACGCCTCCCCTGCACTTAGGCCCTCCGCACTGAGCTGCAGTTAATTTCGCAGCATCCGAATCCGGCCTTAGAGTCGAGCCACGTACAGTAAGTTTGATGTTGTAGGTTGTTGCAAGTTGGTGTAAAAGCATTTCTTTGCGTTTCCAAATGAGCCGTTGCCCAAACTGTTTGTGCATTTGCTAGGCGCCATTTCAACTGTGTTTGGCCCTTTGACTGCCAAAGATGGCGTGTGACAGGCTCGACTCCTGGGCCCAGTGCATGCGTCCTCAATGTTTTGCATTCCGCATCAGCCAGTTGGTTTAAATGTGAGCTTCCCAAGCTCCATCCAGGGCAGGCCTGACAACATTTGCCAACTTAATTCGAGAAAATTCGGGCAAGGGCTGGCATAGCCCGCACTCCTGGCCTCATTCAGGGGCTCGAAGACTTCCAGGCCAGGAGATTGTGATCCGTTGCTTTCTCCAAGCGTTTGGAGCCCGACAGTTTCCGGCCCCTTGGTTTCATGCACCCTGTTGTGTGTATCCGTGGTGTCGGTTGCTGAAAATTGGCAAGTGGTTTGAGACGACCTTGCTTACTGTTTGCTTCTTGGCCGGTTGCGAAACGTTGGGCACCAGCTTTTTGCAGGCTGACGCTCGAAATGCTCGTGGCGTTGGATTGCGCAATTCACGGATTGCGCTCGCGATCCGAAGCAAAGCGGAGCGCGTTTCATCAGTTTGCTGTTTTTTTCTTTATTCTTTTTCGCCCCAGTACAGGGAGTTGATGTGCTTTCGCCATCGAACTGCCCGCCATGACAACAAGGGCTGCGCGACAATGTCCAGTTCAAGTCACAGGCGAGGTGCGGTTGGCGGCTCATTGCGTGGAATGCTGCTTGGTTGGCCGAAGCCATGAAGTGTCCAAGTAGAACAGCTTGAAGAGCATTCTGAGATGCGCCACTTAGCCACAGCAGGCTACACCAGGCTACACTTGTTTGAGTCTCAATCAGCTTGGATCAAGGCAGCTTGAATGGTTTGACACGTTACCCAGCAAAAGAAGGGCCAGCTATCCTCCGAGCAAGGCAGATGGGAGAGGCACGGGTGTCACGACCATGCCGCAGCATGGCATTGGCAAGCATTCGGGAGGCTACTGCACTGGCCAACGCAAGCGCTGATGAGGCAAGAAGAATTTGCCAGGACAGCCACCAGAGTCACAGGCAATGGGAGGTGTAAGTTGTGTAAGACTTTTGCGCTAGGAAATTCGCCGCATAAGTGGAAAGGAAAGCATAAAATTTGGTGACACGTCAGCACTTTGTCCGTCGCAAGCGTGTTGGCTCCCTCGCAAGCTGAGGCGAATTGGTGCAGGAGACGGCCTGTGGCAAATAGCACAAGTGCAAGCAAAAGCATTTTGCTTGACTTGCTTCGAACGTGTTCATTTTTGTTCGGATCAGTTCCTTGACAGGATGAAGTCGTAGAACAGACCTTCGAAGCACTTATGGGTACCCTGAAGGTGGACCGAGCGGGCATGAAATATGCCACATTCTGAAATTGGCCAGGCGGCAAAGAAGAAGGGCTATTTGACCTTTGAGGGTGAGTTGCTGCTACAGGCAGCCCACATGGCCATGTTCGCAAGTGTCCAACTGCCAATGTGCACGCAGGGTCAGCACGATGAGACCTTGATCTCCGTGGTCCGGGCCACTGCTTGTGGATTGCAGGCTATTCGGACGCGCCCCAGGTTGGCATGGAGGCTGAGAAGGAAGAAGAACCAGGTACAGACCAGGTTGAATCAAAATCAGACACTGTCGGACACCTACTGATGCAAGCAGAGATGCATCTCAGCATGGTTCGTTTGATGTAGGTAAAGGATGATAGCGCAGCGACTGCTGTACAAGAGGCTTGTCTTGGATTCCTTTCCGTTCTTGCAGGCGTGCGTCGTGCTCGTGGCACCATGTCCCTGAAAGGAGCAAAGACAGGAAATGCAGGAACCACAGGAAAGGTCTTCGCCTCTGGAGCCCTCAGATGCCGGACAGGAGGCAGAGACGGTTTTCGTGTCTTGTTGTTGTTTTGTTCTTCTTTATTGTTTGTTTTTCTTTTTTTTTTCTTTTTTTTTTTCGGCAGATCGGGTGCAAGTGTTGCAGGTATTGGCATCCACGACTTCGGCCACGGTGAAGAAAACCGAGGAGAACAAAATTGAGATACCACGTACTGGGGTACTGCGCATGGCTTGCCGCAAGGATGGGAAGTGGAAGGTTGACACTGGGTGTCCTCAGGGTCAGAAGTCTCTTAGTTGCTTCTAGAGCCGCCAGGTACATCGACCACAGGACGAAAGATCCTGACAGGCTCGAGGCGCACAGACGTTTGCCATGTCGCTTGCTAAATCTGGCTGCTACTTGGTTAGAAACACTGTGAAGGTGCCTTTTCAAGACTGGACCGATATGGAGAGAGTCAGGGGCGGCGTTCCGTGGTGGAGCCCAAGATGACTGCAACCCGCTAGTCCCTCAGAACATAGCTGCGCATGCCATCATATCAAGTCGAACAAATCCAACGTGGTAAGCCAGGAAGCGAGCGAGATGAAGCCGGCAAGTTCAAAGTTGACACTTCGTGCGTCTTCAGCGGGGCCAATCAGCATGTGGGTTGCACGAGCACTCAGAGAGGTACATCAACCATCGCACAGGTCGGGAACAGATGCTTTGCAGCATGCCTGGAATGCATTTGGCTGAGGCGAAGTTGACCGTCTGGAAGGAAGAAAGTCCGTGTTGGGGTGTGCGCCTTGAAAGCGTCATATTGCTTGCTTATGCTTTGCTTATGCTTTGCTTATGCTTTGCTTATGCTTTGCTTATGCTTTGCTTATGCTTTGCTTGCGGAGTGCCCGAGGAGTGACAACTTGGTGGCAGCGCACTCTGCCACAGTGAAGAAGGCCGCTCGGTCCGGCCTTCTGCGCGCACTCTCGCCCACGAGCGAAGCCCAGGATGATGGCAAGTGGAAGGTGGATACTTCGTGAGCTGGTCGTTTGCACTGCCCGACCTGTCACAATCCAAGCGCTTCACAGGTACATAGAACATCGCACTGGCGACCCGGGGAACTTGACCAGAAAAGAGGAGGACTGTCGAGCGGTGCGCAAACAAGCTCTCACATGTAGCATGCCAGAAGCTGGACGAAGCGAGATACGCAGACCCAGCGCAGAAGAAGTACCCACATGAGGACCTTGGGTTGCCTGAGTTGCCGGCGCTTCTGATTTTCTTGTTCAGGAGCTAAAGGCTAGCAAAGAGAGGCCAGAAGACGTGGATCCAGCAAGGTGCGCCCGCCATGCAAATGTCATGACAGCATTTGTGGATGTTTTGACTAGGAGGGAGCAGTACCTGTCTGACTCAGACTTCCAGGACGTGTGTTGTTGGTGCGCGTGCCGTGCGCGCCCGCCTGTGATCTTTGCAGGCGCTTTTTGGGATGTCGATAGCGGCGTTTCTGAAGCAGCCCAAGTGGAAGCAGCAGAATGCCAAGAAGGACATGTTTAGTGTGTGGGTGCGGCGTGTGTTTTTGGCTGCTAGGACAAGGACCTCTTCTGAGGGCCACTGTGCCAACGCGGTGATCCGATGGTGAAATAAACAGAGTGCATGCCTGCCCTCGAGCTACAATAGCCTAGAACCCTTAGAATCCCTATCCCTAGAGCTAGCTGCAACGCAGTTCCACGCAGAAGGAAAAGAAGGTAAACTGCCCGGCATTGGCGTAAACAGGCCGTTACTGCATCGTGAACACTGAGCGCGCCACCGTTTTTGCTTGAGGGCGACCGGGAGGCGAAGCCATGCATGGCGATCCGCAGTGACGCTGCGGATTGCGCTTTGCGCAGGTGTGGCACGCACATGTGCCATGGCATAGTGCGGGGTTGCCTGCATGTCCCTTCCGTAACCTCCAGAAGTGGCAGTGTCCAATGGAAACCAGCAAATTTCAAGGGGAAATCCAGTGACCCTGGTAGAGACTCTCGGTGAGGTGCCGTTCCAGAGCGGGCCGCGATGCTGAGCCAGCGTTTGGCCGGCTCGCTTGGCCACCCGAAGCGCCCAGTTGCAAGCACTGTGCCAACTTGCCAGGGGCCTGGCACAAGCAGAGGAGCGGCTGCAAGGCATGGGAGAAAGCTGCCAGATGTGCAGGGTGCAGACTATTTAGGGGACGCGTCCGGTTCCATTCGTGGCTTTCTGGCATTCTGTCCAGCTTTTTGCTGCACCCAGCTTTTTTGTTTGTTGGAGATGGATCAATCCATCGTCAAAGCAAGGCTCGCCTTGCTGGGCTCGGTGGTCTTTGCGGATGACCTGCAGTTGCTTTGTTTTTCATTGCTGACTTGCAATGGTACGCGCAAGAGGGAACCACGGCACCAGACAGGTGCATTAGCTGCGCTTGCGACCTTGGAGGCGACTGTTGCAAACGATGAGCGCTGCGACATTTAGTTTGCACGTGTTCTTTGGTCTGCTTGGCAAACCGTAGGTGACGCCCCAGCGCTCGGGCCCAAGCGTGCCAAAGGAGCTGCAGAACGTTGGCGAACGCTCCCAGGCCAAGTGGGAAATCAGCGCCATGCACCGGAGCCCATCCGTGACCTCCAGGTGGACACTCCAGCTCGGAGGCGATCCGCTTGCATTGTTTTGTGCATCGGAAACGGAGGGTTCCTCAGTGGCCCTGGAAATTCCTGAGGTGGCGGCGCAACGACAGAGAGCTCAGCGAAGCCACGTACAGGCACAATGGCAATACCACATTCCCACCACCATCATGTTTTGGGTAAGGACGCCGACGAAGACAACAAAGACGGTGCTTAGCACGCCTGCAAAGGCCGAATCATGGCCGTGCGTGTCCCACTGCATTTTTCACGGCCAGGATGCGGACCTGGCAGCAACGGAGCGGATGCTGCAGGACTTGACCCTTGCGTCAGTCGCTGTGGCTGAATCCTGGCCAGCTGGGGAGCCCAAGCTAGACAAGTACAGGTAAGTAGTCGCACCAGTCGAGCAGAGTCAAGCCGCTTCAGTCAGGTCTGCAAGGAGCTGGCATCGGCCCTGAAGAGCCAGGCCAGCGCCAAGCTTGCGGAGCTGACGGCCTGGCACAAAACTTCGCGACCGGGAACGCTTTCAAGTGGCTTGCCCTGAGGCTGGCAAGCTGCGACCAGACCAGGTCAAGCAGGTGCGGAGATGGCAGTGAGATGTCGCCCGATGGGAGCACTGCGTGTTTCCCAAGTTTGACCTGGCGGTACACTCAAGGTACGAGAGGACGCTGCAGCGCGCTCAACAGCCCATTGGTCGACATCGTGCTTCGTATTTCTGCATTGAGGCTGAAAGCCTTCGCTTCTTGAAATCGTCCTTGGAACCGCAAGAGCTTCACACTCCAAAAGATCAGGAGTCAATCACTGCAGCAAAGGTGGACATGGCTGCAACTGCTGAAGCCTTTTCGAGGAGCTCCGGAAAGTCTTGGGAAGTGACCGTGCCTCAGAACAAAATCCTTCATGGTTCCCAATGGGAGCATAAGGTCGCACGCGACATGGAGATGACCCTGAGTGGTCTTCGATCAAGACGTCAACTCCCCGGGCATTACTTTGTTCGAAGCAGCTGCACGGTGTGAAGTGGCCAAGGCGATCACTGATGGCCTGATGATTAATTCAGGGTGGTATGGTGCCACTCGGGGTGAGTGGTTAATATGGTTCGTAGCGGTTGGTCTTGTGCATGTAGGGTGCGATCGTGAGGGCGTTGTATGTAGAAACATGCATCTCCAGCTTGGTGTAGAAGGCTCAGGGTGCGCAAAAGGAGCAAGTGGGGAGCATAATTGAAGTATGAAGAGCGCCGGGGCTTTCGGCTGCATATGCCAGCAGCTTGAATTCACGCGCTTTGGTCTCAAGAGAACTTCTGGAAACCCTTCCGCTTACCGATACTTCATGATGCGAGGCCCAACTGGAGGGCCGATGTTTCGGGCTGCGGGGCTGCACGGCTGCTCCGCAGGCTTTGCGCTGGCTATGTTGGCCGTCCCTGCTTTTGCTTTTGGTCTGTTCAAGGACTCGGGCATAGTGCAAGGCAGATTCCGATGCTTCTCGAATGTCTGCGATTCTGTTAGGATATCGACGTGTTGGAGCTTGATGATGTATGTGCTGCACCTCGAGGCTGAGCCGAGCCAATTCAACTGCACCTGTGCAAGTAGCTCGTCGGCACAGGAAGGTGTGCCTTCAGCGCTATCCAAGTCCGAGGCGCGGAAGCCGAATGATTTCCACTTGGTGCAATTGTCATTTTTTGGGCTAGGACAAAGAGATCAGGCCTTCGCCTCACGCAATTGCATCAATGCGTTGCATCTCATGTCTTGGGATGCTAGGATGTGGCGCTTTTGATGGATGATGAGGCCGGCATCTACATTGTTCAGCTGCAGCACCATGCAGCACCGCAAAGTGCTTTCATTGCTCTCCACCTTTCAAGTTGCTGCCAGTGCATGGCGTTTGATGCCGAGCACTATGCCATCAGTATCGCGACAACCTTACGCGAGGCTAGTGACTTTTTCACGGGCAATGCAAGCATTGCAAGAGAGCGCTTCGGAGAGTCAGGCGACGCCGGCAGTGCGCCCTTCAAAGCGTCCGTGAGGAAAAGGCACGTTGCAAACAGCAAGGCGTTTGGGGTAATGTTCGACCCTCTTATGCCCCCCCTTTCGTAGTGGAACCAGTCACCACGACCCTCGATAGGGAAAATCCTGGGAATTTGGGTGGGGCAGTATTTACTTTAGCATTGCCCAAGGCTGACTCTCAGATTCCCAGCACTTACTTTCGTATTGCCAAGGCCCTTTTTTTTCGGCAACCCCCAAAAAGATTGGACACTAAAGAGGGTCACATCAAAGAGGCTCAGGGCCTCTTGTGGGCAACCCCCTTGTGCAAATGTTAGCCCTTACTTTTGTGAGGAAGATATCTTAGATTTGATGGTTTGGGGGCACTGGCAAAATGGACTTCCTAGATCCAAGGCCTTTACCCTTTGAGCTGGGAAGGGCTTGGTTCAGTGAACTACCCTTGTTAATACAAAAGGCTAAGGTGTTAATTTGAGAATCTCAACCACCTCCAAAAATAGTGGACATTAAAAAGGACCCCATAACGAGCAGTTGTTGTAAAAGTATAGAAATATAGAATACTATCAAATATAAAATAACATAGATTTATATAAATAATGTATTTAGTAAATAAATTAAAATAATTCTATTATATATTTTAAACAGATTATAGGTTGAATATTATTTGAAAAATGCATAATATCGTTTTGTTTATTATGTATTGTTTATTATGTATTAATATATAGTGTTATTAATTATTTAAGATGTACATTAAAAATAAATCATCGAACATAGTATTTTGTATTTGATATATTTTAGTATTGTAGTTTTAATATTAAACAATGAATAATTAAATATTATTAGTTTATATAATAGTTGAAGTATAAGAATATTTAATTCATAAAGTATTACTAATATTAATAAGATATGGCTATATTAATTATCTTGTTTTATAAAATGATTATATATATTTATTTTTTAAAAGAACAGTGTTATGATTTGGGTTTATGATTGCTTTTTAGGTCTGATTTGTTTTTCAAATGATTTAATGAATCGATTTATATATTTAGACTATTTTATGTTGTTGCTTGAAAATTGATATTTACTATATATATATATGTGTGTTTAATTAGTTAACAAAAAGAAGAGTAAATACAATATATAATTATAGAATTATTGGTTGAATGATTTCGTAATGATTTATTTTTGAGATTTATGAAATATTGTGGTGTTGGGAAATGGTCATTGATTATTGATAAGGAAGTTATATAATGAATATATCTCCTATAAACCGGTGCGGCCTCGGGGTCGCATTTCGCGTGCATCGCAGAGCCGTTGTAGCAGTATTCCGCCCGAATCGTCGTGCTTGCCAGGGCGAGCGGCTATACCCGTCCAGGTCTTTTCTCCGCGGCACAAGTCCTGCCTCTTAGCGCGGCCCGGAAGTCCCCGAAATTTTGCCGAATTTTCGGGTGGTTTTTCAAATCTTCGCTTCGGGTTCTCGCGGCAGAACCTGGCCAAATGTTCCCCAATTTTGGGTCGCTTCCGGCCACCCGGCTCTCAAATCGCCAAACGTTACCCCCGCAAGTTTCTTCAGAATTTGGCGGCTTTCCGAAAAAATAACGCGTCAAATTTCCGGGAAATTTGGGGGACCTGTCCGATGCGAAATTTCTCGAAAATTTTGTGCTTTCCTTCTTTCCCTTTTGCCCTCAGTCCCTCTTTCTCTCTTTTTGTTTCTTTTTCTCTCTTTCTTTCCTTCTTTCTCTCTTCCTCTCTAACTCTCTTTTTCTCTTTCTCCTTTTTCTATGTTTGTTTTGTTCTCTCTTTCTTCTTTCTCTCTTTCTCTCCGTTGCTCTGTCTCTTCGTCTCGTTTCGTCTCTTTGTCTCTCTGTCTTTCTGTCTGTCTGCCTCTCTGCCTCTTTGTCTCTGCGTCTCTCTGTCTTTCTCTCCCTCTATCTCTCCGTCTCTCTGCCTCTCTGTGTTTTTGTGCGTCTCTGTGTCTTTGTGTCAAAATGTCTCTGTGTCTCTGCGTCTCTGTCTCTTTGTGTTCTTCTGCGTCGCTGTCTCTTTCTGTCTCTCTCTGTCTCTCTGTCTCTCTCTTCTCTCTGTCTCTTTGTCTCTTTGTCTCTCTGTCTGTCTGTCTGTCTGTCTGTCTTTCTGTCTGTTTGTCTGTCCTGTGTGTTTCTGTCTGTCTGTCTCTGTCTGTCTGTCTGTGTTTGTCTGTGTCTGTCTGTGTCTGTCTGTGTCTGTCTGTGTCTGTGTCTGTCTGTGTCTCTGTGTCTGTCTCTGTCTGTCTCTCTGTCTGTCTCTCTGTCTGTCTCTCTGTCTGTCTCTCTGTCTGTCTCTCTGTCTGTCTCTCTGTCTGTCTCTCTGTCTGTCTCTGTCTGTCTCTCTGTCTGTCTCTCTGTCTGTTTTCTGTGTCTGTCTCTCTGTCTGTCTCTCTGTCTGTCTCTCTGTCTGTCTCTTTGTCTGTCTCTCTGTCTGTCTCTCTGTCTGTCTCTCTGTCTGTCTCTCTGTCTGCCTCTCTGTCTGTCTCTCTGACTGTCTCTCTGTCTGTCTGTCTGTCTGTCTCTCTGTCTGTCTCTCTGTCTGTCTCTCTGTCTGTCTCTCTGTCTGTCTCTCTGTCTGTCTCTTTGTCTGTCTCTCTGTCTGTCTCTCTGTCTGTCTCTCTGTCTGTCTCTCTGTCTGTCTCTCTGTCTCTGTCTCTCTGTCTGTCTCTGTCTCTCTGTCTGTCTCTCTGTCTCTCTGTGTCTCTCTGTCTCTCTCTGTCTCTCTCTCTGTGTCTCTCTGTCTCTGTCTCTCTGTCTGTCTCTCTGTCTGTCTGTCTCTGTCTGTCTCTCTGTCTGTCTCTCTGTCTGTCTCTCTCTGTCTCTCTCTCTGTCTCTCTCTCTGTCTCTCTGTCTCTCTGTCTTTCTGTCTCTCTGTCTCTCTGTGTCTCTTTCTGTCTGTGTGTCTCTCTGTCTCTCTCTCTGTCTCTCTGTCTCTCTCTCTTTCTCTGTCTTTCTGTCTCTCTGTGTTTTTGTGCGTCTCTGTGTCTTTGTGTCAAAATGTCTCTGTGTCTCTGTGTCTCTGTCTCTTTGTGTCTGTTCTGTCTGTTCTGTCTGTTCTGTCTGTTCTGTCTGTTCTGTTCTGTCTGTCCTGTCTGTCTGTCTGTCTGTCTGTCTGTCCGTCTGTCTGTCTGTCTGTCTGTCCGTCTGTTTGTCTGTGGCTGTGTCTGTTTGTGTTTGTTTGTGTTTGTCTCTCTCTCTCTCTCTCTCTGTCTCTGTTTGTTTCTGTCTTTGTTTGTCTTTGTTTGTCTCTGTTTATATCTGGTTGTTTTGTCTGTTTGTGCTTATTTTTGTTTGTCTTTGTTTGTTGTTTGTTAATGTGTGTTTGCTTTTGTGTGTCGTTGTTGCTTGTTGTTTTTGCTTGTCTCTGCTTGTTTTTGTTGGTCTTTGTTTGTTTTTGTTTGTTTGTTTTTGTTTTTTTGGTTGCTTTTTTATTTGTTTATGTCCTGTAGGTGTGTTGATCTTTTCTGCTCGTAGGTAGAAAAGTCCTGAGTGTCGAATAAGCTGTGCTTGTTGTTGTCCATGTGAGATAGTGCAGTGTCTCGGGTTGAAGTCTAGTCCATATCCTCTATCAAGTAGTCTTGATGCACTGAGGATGGGGTACTTCACATCACAGACGCAGTAGGGTATCATGATCCTGAGGTTGTCCTGCTCGTAGGGAACGTACTTGATGCCGTAGACGGGGATCTTCTTGTTGGTCACAGTGTAGAGTTGTGGAACTGATTCTCCACAAGGTCGTAGTGGAAGATTCGGTGCGTAGTCCTTTGGGCAAACATGTGTAGACGCTCCTGAGTCAATCAGTAAGTGATGGTAGGACTTGAAGTTCGAGTACATAATGTAGTGAGTTGTTGTGTTGCTGCTGCAATGTTGAGGTGTAGTTGAGGTCTGTCCTCTTGTAGGTACTGTTGATAATTAGGTGCTGTGGTTATTCCATGATGTTGTATGACTTGCTCTTTTCCCAAGTAGTGATTTGGGTTTGTGCTTACATTGTAGCGGTCTTCCTTGTCTGATGTGTCCTATGGTGAGGTGCGACTCGTTGATGCCTCCGATGTAGTTTGCTTCACCTTCATGACTGTAGTCATTCCAGTCCCAGCTGTTGTCGTTCCAGTCGTAGTCGTTCTAACTCTCCTCATATAGTTCACATTATGTCCATGTCTTTCTTCTCCTTCGTAATACCAATCCGAAGTGTCGTGCATGTCTTGAGGTGGTTCCTCATTGTTGTCCTGAGTTTCTTGTTCTTGCTCAGGATGTTGTAGTTCTTCCCCTTCTCCGATGTGCCAAACCGGCATTCTGCAATCCTGCGCCCAATGGCCAGGTTTGTTATATCTGTGGCATGTCATGTAGTTGCTGTTTCCTTTTGCTTTTGATTTGCCGTAGTTGCTTTGGCCTTTGTAGTCTTTGCTTGATCCGTAGCCTTTGGATCCGTAGCCTTTTCCTTTTCCTTTGTTGTAGCCATTTTTGTTATATCCTCCTTTGTTACCTTTGTCAAACCCTTTGTAGTGTTCTTTGCTTCTGTACTTGCCTTTTCCTTTGTTTCTTTTGTAGGATCCTTTGCCTCCATATTTGCTTTTGCTTTTTCTTTTGTAGTTTCTTCCTTTCCTCCAAATGTTGTCCACGTCCATGGGTGCTGTTCCACCATTGTAGTTTGTGCCAACCGCTGAGCTCGCTCTTGAGAATGCAGATATGGTCTTGTAGTAGTCCAGGATGACAACTCTGATCTCGTTGTAGTTCGTGATTTGCCCAGCACGCAGCTGGAGATGTTGTTGAAGTGCTCCTTTGGTCTTGTTGAGTAGCATTGCAATCTTCACTCCATCTGGTAGCGGGCCTGTGCCTGGACTCGGAAGCCAGACTGGGAGGAGGCGCGGCTGCTTGCGGGGCTGCCTGAAGTGCTGCTGCCGGAGCGCAGCGTGAAGTGCTGGGGCTGAGTGGCGTCGTTCATGTTGTTGGCGGACCGGACGTCCTGCACGGCTGCGTCCTCACTGCCCTGCTGAGGCCGGAAGAG